TGGTGCCCACTGATTTGCAGCTGGTGCTGGAGGTTGCTGATGTAATGTTAAGTGTCCTGACCTATATCCCCCATGGGATATGAGCTCTGAGTCATCTCATGCACTTGAAGGACTCTCTGAGAGAATTTCTGCAGTCTGCCTCTCATATCATAGATCTTCATGCTCTCACTACTCTGTAGCTTGTAAAATCCCTGATATTAGGAACTGAAGAAACTTCCATTTGAGCTCATTCCCAAATATACTAGAGAATTGAAGCAGGTTCTAATTCCATCATCACAATGGTCTGTGTCTTCTTTGTGATGTTCTTTACCATTGGAGAAAGGGACTTGGCCCATATGCAGACCTCGTATCTATGATTGCTGTATATCAACTGCTTTAAAAACATTGAGGTGCTCTTCCTGCTCTACAGAATGTTTTTGGGCCACGGCTCAGTGAAAGTGCTCTAAACTGCATCCTTTGTAAAGTAACATAACCATCAGTGGTTTTCAGCTTGGGAAACCCGTTTGATAATTCCACATCAAGCACAGAGTGTCCTGGATAGACTCAGCAGGTCTCGTAGCATTTATGGAGAGAAACAGACCTAACACTTGAAACTGGAATGTCTCTTCTGAATTCATAAAACACTCCTGCTTCTGCTCTGAACAATTCATACCACACTCAAAATAATAACTCTGTTTGTCACTCAGGGGAGAGTTCTGAGGAAGGGTCACCGGACCCGAAACGTTAACTCTGTTTTCTCCTTCACAGATGCTGCCACACCTGCTGAGCTTTTCCAGCAACTTTGTTTTTGTTCCTGATTTACAGCATCCACAGTCCTTGGTTTTTATTAACATTGTAAAAGCTTTCACTGCCACAACTCGTGATTTTCTAACCATTCAAATTGATGCTCAGAAAGATCAAGGCACAGGAAGCCAGGTTTGATTCCAGCCTCGGGTGACTGTCTGTTACAACTGAGCTCTGGAAGTCTCTGATAGGGATTCCCCGATAGTTTGCAGGAGGGGAGGGCACAGGGTAATGGGGCCAGCTAAAGCAGCTGCAACTGCTGCAATACAGAGAGCCAAGGGGGAGCTGAGGCTGAGATGCCTCCTTTAAATGACACATTCAATGTCATAACTGAGAACCAGGACCTGCTTTTCACTCAGTCACTGAGCTATTATGAAAAGCACCCCTCCATGTTAGCCATTTCATATCTTCAAAGGATTTGTGTAAGTGGAATGCATATATACTTCTCCACATAAAAAATGACTTGGGTTTCCAATCTGCGAGTATCTGTCTCAACACTTTACTTCAAGACAAGTTCAAGTGAAAGTAATCAACACTTAGGTCCAAATTTCTAGGGTCCTAAACAGGGAGATCCTGCAAGAACAGCTCTGGTTTAGCACCTCTTTTCGTGATTCCAACATGACAATCTCCAAATAAAGGAGATGTGATACCATGAAAATAAACGGAGGATGTTATACTGGGTGTAGCGAGCTCGTGGATCCAATCAGTTAATGGTGGGTGTGCCAGGGCTAACATATATTGAGGATTACAATATAATGAAAAGGACCTTTCCACTTTAGCTCACACAGCTCATATCAGGGGCACAAATGAAAAATTCTATTTCTTAAACAAGTCAATGCTCAGAAAGATCAAGGGACACAGTAGGGTGGCACAGTGACATGGTGGTTAGCACTGCTGCCTTACAGTGCCAGGAACCCGGGTTTGATTCCAACCTCGGCTGACTGTCTGCGTGGAATTTTCACGTTCTCCCTGTGTATGTGTGGGTCTCCTCTGAGTGCTCTGATTTCCTCCCACAGTCCAAAGATGTGCAGGTTAGGTGGATTGGCCATCGTAAAATATAGATGTAGGGTGCTCTTCAGAGGGTCGGTGCAGACTTGATGGGAATACTGGAGGGATTCTTTGATTCAATATGTAATTTCGGGGCACTGACAGAATGTGCTGGAGTGCAATTTTATCTTATTTTTGCTGGTTGACATGAGCTGCAATATTCCTAATTGTTCCGCATTCATGATCACTCTACTAAGTGGTAGTTTGATTTTACATTCCACTTACCAGGTTGCTCGGTCCAGAATTTGATTGAAACCCAGGAATGAGCGAAAATTGTTCTGAGAATTTGTTGCTAGCACTTTCTTGGGCGTTTTCATTTGCTTTCTCTGTTAATTTTTCCATCATTATCTGTGTTTCCTTGTTCTTACGTATACAAATATATTCAATCTCGTAACGATATTTACTTTTGTCGTAAGTGTAGTAATAAATAAAATAGAAGAATAGTAGGCAGACCAAGGACACGAAAATTAAAAGGCCACCAATGAGCTGTTAAGACATGTGGAGAGATAAGAAAATGTATTTAATTGAAGACCATCAAGAAATTTGTCATAAAGTGAACATAATCTTTAAAAGCAGAATAAAAGGAAACAACTAATTTAGACGATTACGAAACTTTATGCCAGAGAATTTCTTCTGAGTCTGCAACGTACACCTACTGATACTCAACAACCAAAGGGACCATCAGAATACAGCAGTGTTGTTCCTGATTAATTTTCCAGAATGAACCAAATATGTCATCTTCTAATTAGGCAGATGTACGAAAAATATTCACCACCGTGATGGCTTTTCGTTCTTTATGGTGAAAGTGCTGCAATTATCATGTTTTAAGATTGTTATCATTTGGGACCATAGCTTTAAATTTGGGGTAAATGAAAGGGCTGATGTCATTTGTTCTGATGTTTGCCTGGCAGTAAGTCAATGTGGTTTGATTATTAGGTGGCAATACTTGACTGAGCAGAAGGTGAAAGGTATTTAATTTTGGAGCAAATGGCAATACGTTCTGATTTTTCATCGAGTCTCTCAAAGCATCAGAAAAACACTGACAGCACTGGATAGTAAACAGTTGGCTGTCCATTTACTTTCAAGGTAAATTGGAATTATGAAGAATGTAACTAATTAGTATTTCTACCTAGATGCAAGGGGGGTGTGTTTCACATTGCAATGGGAGACGAAGGCAGAGGAAGATATTTTTAGATTGGGTTACTGGCTCCATACAAATCAATCAGTATCACAGACAAACAACAAAGATTCTCATGGACAGCAGAGAGAAAAGCCTGCTTGACTTTGTGAGCTTCAGCAGTTGGATGCAAGATAGAAGTGGTCTTTAATCAAAAAGATGAATCTTGCGGTCTTCTATGGATTGTTGGAGATTTGACCTGGCATGGCCTGGGATGAAGAAGAGTCATCAGATTATTCTGCTGGGAATGGACTTAAGAAAATCTGAGGAAAATGCATGGAATGATCATTCAAAGTTACATCTAGTGATGATTGCTGGACTACCTGCTATAACCACTGCAATTCTGTGGAGACTGTTTTATGTGATGTGTAAAAGGTGTATATTCTTCTCTAGCATATATCATAATTTGTAAAAATAAAAGTCAGTAGTGCTTTTTGTCATTTGTTACAGCTTCTAAAGTTCATTTTTTAACTTAAACTTATAGTTATGAGTTTCTCTGAAAAACTGGTAGCCACTCTGGAGATTGTAACACTTGGATAAACAAAACAAACTTAAAGAGAATAAAGCCCTGAGTCTAGACAGATTGCATTGCTATATTTTTGAATATGTCTGGATTAAAGAGTGTATTACTGCTCATAATTCATAATGCTTCACCTCAATGGGGTAGTGCGCCTGAAATAAAACCCCACTACTCTCAGAGTCATCACAAATTTAAAGGTTTAATAAATGAAGGCAAAATTTCCCGCTTGAGCTGTGTTTTAGACCCAAGTTGACAGAGAGCGTGGACGAGATTTCTGGACTTAACAAGAGTATCCATTTATTACAAGTAAATAGATTCTTCTTACATTTAAATGATTACGAACTATTTACATCTAGCTCTATGGTTAAACTCAACCACCTTGTAAAACACCCCAACACACACAGAGACACACACACAGACATAAAAAAGTGGGTATTATGGACAGAGAAAAAAGACTAGGAAGGCTTTCAATGGTCCCTCTCCACAGGGTTCACTGTGATGATCTTTTTGGCTTGTTATGTCCTGCTGTTCTTCAGTTTTCCTTCTCCAGGTACTTTTGCTTGCTTGCAGGAAGCACAGACTATTGGGTCATGCTCATAAAGTTTCTAAAAGTCACAGTTCACAATGACTGTTGAGGGTAAATAAACTCACTTTCTTCAGGCTCGAGGACTTTTGTGCTGTAGAAAGAAAGGACAGCACCAACTTTTGCAGAGGTCCAATAGCTTCTGACCAAACTTTCGTACATGGGAGCCAATCACATCATTTTTGGCAGGCACAAGGCCTTTGTCATTGATCTGTGGAATGGTGACCAGTTGTCAATCTGCTCCTTGTTGCTGGCTGACACACCTCCTTGGCTCCAGTTCACCTACAACCAAATCTCCCCCGCTGCTTGAACAAAAACAAACAGTGTAAACAGCAATTGAGTGCCAGGCAACTTGCTTTTAAAAATTGCAGCAGTCCTTCTACCATCCTTCATTTTTGAAACCATCCTGCTACCGCTTCAGTTCACAATCAAAAACGCAAAAAAATGTTAATGGTTTTACCTGCCTCCACCCTTATCAGATGCAACATCATTTCAGAAATGTGCTTCATCACAAAAAATATGATTCACAAACAGCACACAAGATTTATATCAATTCATCCTTCCTCGGTGTTACTATATACTACAACATCAACAAATAAATTATGAACCACAGCTATGATCTGATTTATAAGCCTGTGGATTTTAGCTAGGTCATTCTTTAAGCCAAGTCGCACCTGATGTAACAAAAACAGAAATATCTTTATCCCTTGATGTTAATGGTACTTGCCAGTAGTGTCCCTTTAACAGACAAATCTCGGAAAGGAATGAAGCCCTGCTAATCCTATCAATGCAGCCTTCCACCATAAAATTAGGTATGAATCTGTTCTTGTGACCACATTCATCTTTCTATAATCTATACAAAGTCGTGTTAATTCATCTGATTGAGGAACAGCATTATAGGTCAACTCCACCTGCTTTGACTACATTCAATCAGGTGGTTTTGCAGTATGTACTGAATCTCTGTTTCTATGTGAGCTTGTTTCTCCAGGCTCAACCGGTAAGTATTCAGTAGTCCTGAATCTCTTATGTACTCATCTTGTACTATGCTAGCTAGGCATCCAGGTGTATCTCTACAGATTATCTTATGTTTTCACACTAGTCTTAGAAGACCCTCCTTTGTCTTTTCTCTAAATATGGGAACATCATGCCTAAGTGTCCCAAGGAACCAACTAGGGAACAGACCGTCTGGTATTGTGCAATGAGAAAGGAATAATTGGCAATTTAGCTGTGCAAGGCCCCTTGGGGAACAGCGACCATAATATGATAGAATTCTTTATTAACGCGGATAGTGATATTGTAGATTCTGAGACTAGGGTCCTGAATCTAAATAATGGAAACTATGATTATATGAACATGAGCTGGCTATGATAAATTGGGGAATATTACTCAGATGGTTGACCACAGATAGGCAACAGCAAACATTTAAAGTGTGCTTGGAGGAACAACAGTAATTGTTCATTCCTTCTGGCATATAATTAAAAAGGGAAAGGTGGCCCAGCCATGGCTAACAAGGGTAATGTAGGTAGTATTTGATCCAAGGAAGGGGTATAAAATTAGTCCAAAAGAGCAACAGACCTAAGGACTCGGAAGAGTTTAAATTTCAGCAAATAAATAGAACTGAAGAGCAAATGTGCGGGGAATATACAGACTGATTGTAAAAGTTTCTAAAGGCGTGCAAAGAGAGAAAAAAGTGATTAATGAAGACAAGTATACATCCCTTACCAGCAGAAACAGAAGAAGTTCTATTGGGAAACAAATGCATAGCAGACCAATTAAATACATATTTTTGTTCTGTCTTCACAAAAGAAGATACAAAGAACATCCCAAAACTGTTGAAGAGCACAAAGTGTAGTGAGGTAGAGTAACTGAACGAAGTCATTATTAATAGGAAAATTATGTTGGAGAAATTAAGGAAAGAAAGATTGATGAATTGCCAAGGTCCAATAATTTATGTCCCAGAGTACTTAAGAAAGTGACCCTGGAAGAAGTGGATGCAATGGTGGACATCTTTTAACGGACACACTCATCATGCTACCTTACATCAAAACACATGTGAACTGACCACAAGACTCCTACAACCACTGGGCATCAGAGTAGCACACAAACCCACATCAACCCTACGGCAACTGCTCACCTGAACCAAAGACCCATTACCCACTATGGACAGGACCAGTGTCATATACAAGATTCCCTGCAGAGACTGCGACAAACATTACATTGGACAAACAGGAAGGAAATTAACCACAAGGGTACACGAACATCAACTGACAACAAAATGACACAACCAATACTCACTCATTTCCATCCACGTGGATATGGAAAACCATTAATTAGACTGGGACAACACCAGGATCCTGGGACAGGCAAAGCAGAGACAAGCATGGGAATTCCTAGAAGCCTGGTTCTCTACTAAGAAATCCATCAATAAACACATAGAACTAGACCCCGTATACACTCCATTGCGTAGGAAAACGGGAAGTGAGGTAATCCAGCTCAGTCGACACCAGAGTTTAAATAACAGGTGGGAAAACACAACACCACTTCATCGGAGGCTGCGCTGATGATGTTACCAACAGGGCAATGAACCAGCTCAGCGAGCCAACCAACCACAAAGTTTATAGACACAGGAGCAGTTTCTATGGATTAGAAGTGAGCTAACTTAACTCCATTATTTAACAAAAAAGGAAGTAGAGAGAAAACAGGCAATTATAGGCTAGTTAGTGTGACATTGGTAGAAGGAAAAATGTGCGACTCCATAATAAAAGATTTAATAGCATAGAACTTGGAAAACAGTGACAGCATTGGGCAGAGTCAGCATGGATATATAAAAAGGAAATCATGCTTGAGAAATCAATTGGAATTTTTCGAGGATGTAACTAGTAGAGTTGATAAGGGGGTATCAATTGGTGCAGTTTACTTGAATTCTCAGAAGGTTTTTGATAAAATCCCACATAAGAGATTAGCATATAAAATTAATATATATGGGATTGGGGATAGTGTATTCACATGGATAGAGAACTGGCTGGGAGACAGGAAACAAAGAATAGGAATAAACAGGTCTTTTCCAAGTGGCAGGCAGTATCTAATGGCTATCACAGGGATTGTCCTTGGAGCCCAGCTATTCACAAAATATATTAATGATTTATATATGGGAACTAAATGTAATATGTCTAAATTTGCAGGTACTACAAGCTGAGTGGAAAGGGGAACTGTGAAGAGGTTGCAGAGATGCTTCAGTGTGATTTAGACTATTTGAACGAGTTAGCAGTTGCATGACAGGTCAAGTATAATGTGAATTACTGTGAAATTATCCACTTTGGTAACAAAACCATGAAGGCAAATTGTTATCTAAATGGTGATAGATTGAGAAAGGTGGAAGACAATGGTCCATGGTCACCAGTTGCTGTCATTTCAAAAGTCACATGCCTCTGAACATTTAGTTCCTAGCTTTAATATTCTTATAAAAATGTCTTCATAAGTGGCTATAAGATCATACCCATTAACCTATATTTTGGTCGTTACTCTATTTATTCTGTTCCAAATACAATGCACATTCACGTAAGAAGCCATTAATTTTGCTTTTTAACCTTTTTGTTTTCTCATTTTGACCTTAAGTGCTTCTGTTTTGCACATTTGTACAATCTGTTCCTTCCTGTCCCATTCTGAGTATCGTCATCCAAACAGCTGTTCCATAATCCTGCCGTATCCTTTGGGTTTGTAAGCTTGTGTTTCCCCTCTTCCAAACCCGCCCCTTTTGATTAGTTTGAAGCCCTCTCTATAGCCTGTGCAATTCAATTTTCCAGGACACTGGTCCCAGCACATTCCATGTGAAGCCTGTCCCATTAGAACAATTCCCTTCTACTCTAGTACTGGTGCCAATGCCCAATAAGCTGAAATGATTTCTCTTGCACCAATCAATGTACACACATTTAACTCTTTGACTTTATTTACCCTATGCTAGTTTGTCCATTGTTCAGATACTAATCCAGAGGTCATTACCTTAGAGATTTGGCTTTTAAATTAGCTCCTAATTGTTTAAAGTCTTTCAGCAGAATCTCATTTCTAGCCCTATTGCTATCATTGGTACCAATGTGGATGACAACAATTGTATTCCTGCCCTCCTACTCCAAGTTCCTCCCCAGTGGGGATGTCCTAACCCTGGCACCAGATAAGCAATACATGCTCACAGTTGCAAACAATAGTATCTATTCCCCAAATTATATTGTGCCCTATCAGAACTGCATTCCTATTTCCTCTTCCCATTTGAATGGTTGCTTGTGCCAAGTTGCCATAGTCAGTTTGCTCATCCTACAGTTCCCACTGTCATCTACACAGCTTACAAGTAACAAGCTGATAAATAACGGAATTCTTATGCAGAGCAAATCTCAAAGAACATCTGGAACTTATAAATATCTTAAGTAAATTTTAAATTGCACGAATTTCTGAGAATGTGAAGATTGGTTCAGACACACAATGGGTTGATTGCTGATTTGCTAGTGGGTTGCAATCTGGTGGAATCTAACTGTAGTCATTCAGAGTAGTTGAAAGTGGGAAGTGATGTTCCACAAGAATCATTGCTAGAAACATTGCTGCCCACAACTCCTTTTAGAAATTTGGATTTTGGAAAGAAGAGAAAATACACTGTAATTTTTTTTTTGAGTTTTAAATGTGTAGAATGATTATGAGAGAGCTTGCAAAGAGTCGCCATGTTTCAGTGCCAGTCTACTGTATCTAGGTACATATGACAATAATAAATTTGCATTTAACATCAAAATTGGAGTGAGATTGTCAATATTGAGCAAGAGCACAATAACTAGCAGGAGGCCATTAATAAAGATGCAAATTGTCAAATAATTTGAAAATGATGTTCAAAACAGATAAATGTGAGATCACACATTTTGGAAGGAAGGAAAAAGATGCAGTTCATTTCTCGAATGTATAAGTCTATATGCGGCATTAAACACAAATACTTCAACCCAATAAAATATATATGATAATGAAAGGCAGGACACTGTAGTCACTGCAAATTCAGTTCTGAAAATATTCCACACATCTGCCAGCCCCAGAGGAGAAAGAGGCGAGTTAACATTTCAGGTCAGGTATTGAAGAGGTTTCGTTGATCTGAAACTGTGATCGATGCTTTGTTCCTCCACCCCATCTACATCACAGCTTCTTGTCACAATCCCCAAGATATCCCAATCCAATTAATATCTTTTGAAATTAGTCACGTTTTAGGCAAACTTCCATATTCAGTAAAGCTATGTTACAAATCGATTTAACTCCCTCATTACCCAATCAAACATTATGAAGACTCACTGTCTGAGCAGAATTTAAACCTCATAGTTCAAAGCTTTACAATTTTTCATCAGAACTATTATCCATTTCTGAAATGAACAGATAAATTGTTCTGAAGAAGATCATACCAGACTCCAAACAGTAATTCAGTTTCTCTCTCCGCAGATGCTGCCAGACCTGTTGAGTTTCTCAGGCATTCTGTGTGTTTGTTTCAGATTCTTAGCATTTGCAGTATTTTGCATTTAATTATGTGTTTAGCTGTGTTTTTGGAGTTATCAATTAGCTTTTTACAAAAAAAAAATTCCAAGAAAGCGGAAGTTACTCATATATCCAATGGAACTACACGGAAAGTTTAAGGGTAGACATATCCAGAATTGCTCAATCTGTGCTGCAGAATCATTAAAAGAGAAGCTTAAAAAAGACATGAGAGGCAACTTCATAAACAGAGGGTGGTTTGTGTGTTGAATGAACTTCCTGAGGAAGTAGTGAATGCAGGTACAATTACATTTACATTTAAAAGACATTTGGATAGATACATGAATAGGAAAGTTTTGGAGAGATATGGGCCAGGAGCAGGTGGTGGGATTAGTTTAATTTGGGATTACCACTTATTAGGGCCTTGTACAGTGTAGAAATGCGAGAGGTCACAGGCTCAAGTCCTGGATGAGCCCTCATTTCTTGGGCAGCACAGTGGCTCAGTTTTTTAGCACTGTTGCCTCACAGCGCCAGGGACCTGGGATCAATCCTCCCTTGGGCAACTGCCTGTGAGGGGTTTGCATGTTCTCCCCATGTCTGAGTGGGTTTCTGCCAGGTTTCTGCTCCAGTTTCCTGCCATAGTCCAAAGATGTGCAGGTTAGGTGGAGTGGCCATGCTAAATTGTCCATAGTGTTCAGGGATGTATATATTAGGTGTGTTAGCCATGGGAAATAAACGGTCACAGGTAAAGGTAGGGAGATGGATCTGTGGAGGATCAGGGTGGACTTGTTGGGCCAAATGGCCTGCTTCCATACTGTAGAGATTCTGTGATTATGTTTGTTGGACTGAGGGGTCTGTTTCTGTCCTATGTGACTCTATGTATCAAACTCTGAAATGTTCTGAAGTTTCTTGATAAAGTAACAGTGTTACTAAGGAAAGGAGCTTAAAGCAATGAAATGATCTTAGAATAAGAATTTATTATTAATCTTAGACCAGAATGCTGGGGCTATAGTCAGCAGAAAAGAAATAAAGCTTGGTGTTTGGACTTTTAAAAGAAGGAACTCAATCATACATAGTATGGTCCATGAAGAAAAAAACTATGTCAGTAGCATAGTAATACGGAAAGTTCCAGATAAGTTGACATTTTAATTACTTCAAATCCAGCAAAATATTAAAATACAGAAAAATCTCTCTCCCTTTGAAATGAGTTGCACTGGGGTCTTGCCCAAGACACAACACTTTTATGAAGTTCTCACTGTTTCACAATATTTGTAAAGCTGATGCAGATAAAGGGGATGATGTTTGTTTAGTTTATGAAGAACGTGCCCATTATTTTTACCGTGATTAACAATCTTTGAAACTGTGTTAGAAAAGTGAGTTTTTTCCCTTGTATATCTTATTTTCTATGTTTAATAAACATTTGTTCTGTTTTATTGTTTAAACGCGAGATTGCATGATTATGTTTTAGTAAAAGATCGCTTTGGTTTTACAAAAAAGAGATCTGTCCAACAGCTTGGAATTCTCCCAAAACAACAATCAACTGTCTGAAGAAGGGTCCTGACCCGAAACGTCGACTTTCCTGTTTCTCTGATACTACCTAACCTTCCTTCAGCTCCACACTGTGTTGACTCTGACTCCAGCATCTGCATTCTTGGTATGCCCCAAAACAACAGGCGTCACTAGCTCATCATCATTTTCACAATCTCTCGTCAGAACCAATGTATGAAGTTTTTACTCACCCGCGAAAAATCACAATGATGTCGTTGTCCAGTTAAGAAATTGTTGAGGTCGCGATCGCACTGGAACTTGACGCACGTCGTATTGGCCACTTCTGTAATATCGATCTTAGCACATGTATAGTAATCGCCATCCAAAAGCAATATGCTAATCCATAATATTGGGGGAATTAAAATTTTACACAGCCAAAACAAAAACTTAACTAAATAAAAACGACAGCACTGAATCTCACATTTCGAAGTCTGTTCTTGAGGTTGCCCCGTGTTTCTTGAATCTCTTTTGCAACAGGAATGGAACTGATTTGATTCAAAATGCAACAGTAGACTGATGAAAAGCAGTAGTACTGCAGGTAACCCGAAGAATAGACCAGCGTAATTACGATTTGAATTCAGGGAAGTACACGGACACGGGATCTGCTTTTCCAGGAGCTCCTCCAATCCATAAAATATTAGGACCAGTACTGTCCCAATGAGGGTGTATGTGCCTGAGCTACTGTTTAGAAATAACTCCTTTAGGAGCGTTATTTTATTGTCATCCGGTACCATTTCACCGGCTTTTGGAACCACACAACGACACAGATATTCACAACAAACAAGATTTACTGTAAATCTGATAGCCTGATCCGGGAAACTCCACCCAGGAAAGCCTTGACGTTTTATAAACACTTTGAAGTGTCTACAGCCCAATCGTTTCTGCCCTAATTTGGAAGTGACCCACTTATTGTAGTATCAGAAAAGAGAAAGTGTCGCCGACTACACACTATGTGGGCACATCTCTTCTGTTTTAAACCACATTCAGAGCACTGGCACGCATGCCCATCAAAGAGTCTCTGCTCTAACACTCATCAACACCTTACTGGTTTATTAAGTGAAAGAAAAATAAAACTACATTCAGACAGCTCCTTTCAGAATTCGCAAGACGCTTCTGAAATTGGTCACTTCTGTTGGAAAAGCTTAATACGGTTCTATCAGCCCCCATGAGACAGTTGACTTGTTGGGCAATGTTGGCCAGGACACTAGCTATTTCAAAAAAACAATCATTCTTGACTATCTCTCTGATCGTGAACATACAGCATAAAGTCCAGGCAGAATTGACAATAGTTTCCATTGGGTTTAACAAGCTGGTGATCTCGAAAAATATAAATATTGCTTTGTCATCATTATTGTTATTCAGTGCAAAATTACTAATATTCGAATTTACTTAGAGATATTTCTCAGAATGCAAATACATTGTCAAGTAAAAGCAAAATACTGCAGATACTATTGGAAATCTAAAATATAAAACAGAAAGTGCTGCAGAAACTCTGTTAAATGAATCACACTAGCTTCTGCTTGTCTCTCAAAAAAACCGAAAGAACTGCTGATGCTGTAAATCAGGAACAAAAACAGAGTTCTGAAGAAGGGTCACCAGACCCTAAACGTTAACTCTGATATTTTTCCTTCACAGATGCTGCCAGACCTGCTGAGCTTTTCCAGCAACTTCAGTTTTTGCTTCTGCTTCTCTCACCACAGTTGCTGCAAGAGCTTCTAAGTTAGTCCAGCACTTTTCTGAAAACAAATGAGTACCCTGCTATGATAAGATTGTTGCTTTAAAACAACCTGCGCAGGAATAAAGGAACAATTTTCATTTATGCAACTCCTCCAACATTAAACTGGCTCACAGTGATTCATAGGCAAATAATTCCTTTGAATGGTTGTTACTGCTGCTTTGTGAGAAACAGATTGGATATTCAGCATACAGAGACTGGATAATTGACCAAATACATTTGTTTTAATTGTATTTGTACAAGCACCACTTTTAATAAAAATTTCACCCCAAACAAAAATATGTCTGTTCTGATCATTTTTCTCCATTTGAACAGCCGGACGGCGCCTCGATTAGTGACACAGCTCTGACAATGCAGCACTCCTTCAGTACCTCACTGAAGTGTCTATCTGAGCGTACAACTCAGAAGGATATGCTTTAAAAGTTATGCTGGAAAAGTAACCTTGCTTAAAACAACTTCATATGATTAAAAGAATCACAAATGTAAAACATGTTTGCACATTCTCTCCTTGTCTGCGTGGGTTTCTTCCGGGTAGCTCCAACTTCCTCACACAGTCCAAAGCTGTGTAGGTTACGGTGGATTGGCCAGGCTAAATTGCCCATAGTGTCCAGGAATGTGCAGGGTAGGTGGATTAGCCTTGGGAAATGCAGGGTTACAGGGTTAGGATAGGGCGCGGGCTCTGGTTGGAATGCTGTTGGGAGGGTCGGTGCGGACTTGTTTGGCCGAATGGTCTGTTTCCACACTGTAGGGATTTTATGCATCATACATCTGGAAAATCTCTTTGCAGAACAAGGTTGAGCAGGAAGAGAGAATTGTTTTTAATTAACAGTATTTATGTTGACCAGTATTTATGCTTTGGTTCTAATTCCCTGCTCCCCTATTCTTTTAAAAAAAAACAAAACCCTCTAACACAAGCACACTCCTGTACACAAATAGTTCCAATTAAGAATGTACATTTATTCACAACTGTTTTTAATTAATTTTGAACTTCTTATCTGTGCTCAGCATTAGTTCTGTCCTGGTGGGCAGGTATCTGTTAAAAGCCCATCAGTTTCTACTTACCTGGTTTCAGTCTAAACAAAAGTTTATGAGTGAACTAGTCCCTGGTGCATTCTCCATGGCAATAGCTCTACCAATCACAATTCTCTTGCTAACCAGTCAGTGACCTCTTCCCTCGCAGCATAAACTATTGTTCGCTTTGAAATTGGGATTCTGTCCTATTGAGTGAGAGGTGAAAAGCTTTATGTTTGACCAATACTCAAGTTCTGTACTACCAACCAATCATTAATAAATAATAAACATTAAACATTCACACTTGAGTAGTTAATAAATAAATTTTACACTTTGATCTTAAAGCAGTGTCACCTGTGGAATATTGTTAACTGTGGCTTCTTCGATTTTAAATCACTGTTTCTACTGGTCCCTTGCTATTGTTTAATAACTGTTTTTATTTTATTTATTAGCAACTCATAGAAGTCTGCACAGTATATACTGAAGTTCATGGCACTACCAGCTCTATTTCTACAATGCTATCACTCAAACCTTGCACCTCAGTTGTGCCATTAAGCAGAAAACTCTTATATTCAGCATTGGATACAGGAATAGAAAATGCAAAAGAGACCAGTTTCAGTACTTTCTGAAGAAGGGTCCGAACCCAAAATGTCAACTTTCCCGCTCCTCTGATGCTGCCTGGTCTGCTGTGCTCCTCCAGCTCCACACTGTGTTATCCCAGTTACAGTATTTGGCTGCCACTCTGGTATTTGTCTGATAAGCTCCACCCATCATTGTTCTATTCTCTGCTCCTTTGAGACTATATCATCATTTGATTATAACCCAACAGTCATCCTACAGGTTGTCAATGCGGAATGCTGTAGAAGAGCCTCCAAGTCAGATCATTTTTACAGCATTGTCAATTGAGAGCAGTGCAAGTCATTGTTCACACATGTTTGTGAAAAAATGTTCACACATTTTTCTATCCCCTCATCTGGATGGGTACATGAATAGGAAGGGTTTGGATGGATATGGGCCAAATGCTGGTAAATGGGACTAGATTGGTTTAGGACATCTGGTTGACACAGATGAGTTGGACTGAAGGGTCAGTTTCTGTATTGTACAATACTATTACTCTGTGATTCTGGTAAGAAGTATGCCAATACTCCTAACCAGCTTTGTAGTACTCATTCATTTAGGGACAGAAGTGACAGTCACCACGTTGGTAGGTGCAAAGTGCTTTTGTATCAAATGTCAACAAACATATATAGAGTTCAGGAGTCTCTTTATTTTTGGCTGATGAAGTAAACTTGCTGTAAACTTTGAGGCCGATTGTCCACGTGTTAAACTGTAAGAACTTCATCCCATGTTTGAGGCAGCTATGGATAATATTACATTTACACCTCACCTGTAGCAGTCAGTCATGAGTTTGTGCTTAAGTCAGTTGAGTTTCTCATACACTGACTTCTACTTTCCAAAATTCACAGCGACATTGGCAGTCACATAAGAAGAAGTATTGTAAATGCTGAGTCAATTCCTCTGTCAAATTTTGCAGAGATATGTCGCTATTCTCGCATTTACCTTGTCATTGCAACAACATCTCTGAACAGGGTGATCAGAAAATATCTCAAAATGAGGCAAGCAAACTTTAATTCAGTCCGTTGCAGATGGCAACACACCGTAACCAGGAAGAATATATTTCCCTTGTCTCAGGTATCAGACCCAATTGAAAAATACTGTGCACAATCCACCTCTTTAAGCAAATATTCTGAATATTTCAATGTCAAAACAATTGCTGCTGTGCTGGTTGCTCTTGGCCATCCACACAAACGTTTTTCATCCAATTATGAAATCTGCCAATACATTAGGAGGTATTTTGTTACAAGTCTTTACTTTCACAAATTAAACATTGTGAAACGTTATTGTGACCATTCTCTGTTTCAGCTGTAATCACAAATTTTCTTGTGTCGAGCCTCCTTTGATTAGAAACAATGACTTGTGGTGTTCTTCCCTCTCACTTTTCTGATTCCTGGTGTTTTGTGCCCCTGTGTGGCTGATCAATGCATCTCTTCCCTTCTATATCACCAGCGACCCCTCATCACAAATAATGCATTTATCTGGAACTGTGTCAACTTTGTGAAGCCAATTTTGATTGTATTTTCTTTGTACCATTCTTCATTAAAATGGCAGAAGTATGTTTGTTTCCCTGTGCCCGTGCCATCCCCTGCCACTACTGATGCCAGCTCTGTCGGAATAGACCTCACCATGCTCATTTATTATTTGGATTTTTTGAGCTGTTTTATTAGCAACCAAGATTATTGGACCAGCTTTAGTCCTATCCAGTTGGAGCAGCAGTGCACCTTCTGCTAAATTACCTCAGTTGAAGTCTCTGAGTCAAGTCTCTCAGTGAAATAGTGGGAAGGTTGGTTTTTAAGATTTATCATTATCAATCCAAGTTTTCTCGGGCAGAAACAAAAGGAAGGAAATTTGAAACAGTGTTGCCTTTTACCTCATTTTTCCACAGACTTTCTTTTGCAGCCAGGGCCCAGCCCAGGAAGCCAAGAGAGCTTTCTAGGTAACGGGTATGAATTTTGCCACCAGTCTGCAGGCGAGAAAATTCAGTTGCCCCTGACTGAACTGTCTGTTGGTTTAATAACTTTACCTCT